CCTCCCCACACGGCCCCCTCCTCCCCACCCAACCACTGCCTCCCCATGGAGCCCACTCCTCCCCACGCGGCCCCCTCCTCCCGGGGCCCCTCTCTCCTTGGGGATATGAACCTCTGTCCTCCATCCTCCTCCCTTCAGACCGGATGTGGTGCCGCCAGGCTGAGGGTCCCTCAAGTGTCTGCCCCGTTTCCCCCTGAGAGCACCTTGTGTGTTTGAGGGGTTCAGAGTTGACATTCGAGGGGTGCCGGGGACTCATGGTGGGGCCCGAGGCTGTCCCTGCAGGGGCCCGGCCAGGGCAGGTTGATGCCTTCGGGCGCCCCTGGGGCTCTGTCTGGAGAGGGCTGGGCTGCGGTGCACAGATGGGCGCCCCTGGGGCTCCGTCTGGAGAGGGCTGGGCTGCGGTGCACAGATGCCCCAGCCTCCAGGTTCCCTGTTCCTGGTGAGGCCCGGGTGGAAATGAAGGCTTTGGGGAGCAGGGGCCCCCACTGGAGGAGCAGCCGCCTTGAGACAAACGTTGGGCTTTTCTGAGTCCGAGTGAGTGGAAGACGAGCCGCACCCGCAGGCAGGCCAAGGTGACCTACCGCTCTTCCCCACCAGCCAGGCCCCACTCTGTGGGCTGGAAACTCCGTAACAGGCACCTGTTCCTCCTCCGAGGTTTGCACCAACCCCACCTCATTTCCCAGCCAGGGAACCGTGCAGTGACCTCAGTGTGGAAACGACAGGAACTTGGGGTCAAGCCTCAGGAATGGTGGCTGCAAAGGCCCCCCTGAATCCCTGGGGTGCCTCCACTTCCCCATGTGACAGAGCTCCCTGCCGCCTCTTCCCGCCTCAGAGTGGCCCTTATGCCCCACGGGCGAGAGACGGGCGTGGTGGCTCCGGGACCCTGGCCCATGACTGCAGGTCACCAGGCAGCCACCTCTGGGCCCCAGCGGACCTCTTCGTGAGCCTGGGACCCAGGTGTGAGGGGCGGCCCGGGGCCGGGACAGAGTCACTGATGCCAAAGGGCGCTTGGAGACCTCACGGGCACTGGCAGGTCTGATGGTCTTCGTTGGTGCCTGAGCGATTTCTGCAGTTCATCCCCTGGGCAGCCCTGCGGGCTCTCACTTCCCCGGTAACACGGGGTTCTTCTCCTGTTATCGTTATTTAGGCTTGAGCAGTTCCTGCCTCTAGCTTTTTCAGATTTGGTCTGGGAGCCGAGGTACTTCGGGCTGTTCCCAAGTGATCCCTGTTTCATTTTAGGCGAGTTTTAAGGAGTCCTACATGGCTACATTTTATGAATTCTTCAATGAGCAGAAATACGCTGATGCGGTGAAGAACGTAAGTATCGACTCCCCGTCCGACAGCCGGTGCTGTGCCCAGGAGACAGAGCTGCTCTTAAAATTGAGATGGAACCCACACGACACAGACTTGGCCATTAGCGATTTTAAGCAATAAGGGCGTTCGCTGCCCAGATAGCCCTGTCCCGAGTCCTAGGACACCTCCTCCTCCGGCAGTCGATAAACTCTTTGGCGTGACCACCTTTGGGGCCAAGAAGGGGCCCTCGCCCATCTCGTTCTGTGTCTGAGACCCCCAGACGAGGGCGCGTCCCACCTCAGTGTGTGTGGCGGCTGTACTCATTCCAGGCTGCAGTTGTGGAGCCCTGGGGCCGCAGACTCAGTGTCAGGAACACCGTGTGTGGGGGACATCCAGACCCAGGGCTCTGCTCTTACCCACTGTCAGGAACACCGTGTGTGGGGGGAACGTCCAGACGCAGGGCTCTGCTCTTACCCACTGTCAGGAACGCCATGTGTGGGGGACATCCAGACCCAGGGCTCTGCTCTTACCCACTGTCAGGAACGCCGTGTGTGGGGGACATCCAGACGCAGGGCTCTGCTCTTACCCACTGTCAGGAACGCCATGTGTGGGGGGAACGTCCAGACCCAGGGCTCTGCTCCTCCCCACAGTCAGGGACCCGTGGGCCTCGCTGCTGGGACCCAGATTCCCCACTTAGAGTCCCCCCGGGCAGCCTCTGGAGATGCAGGTTGATCCCCAGGTGTTACCTGAGCTTCTCACCTGAGATCTCCCTGGCAGAGCCAGGGCTGGGGTGGCACAATGTGGGGCAGAGCCAGGGCTGGGGTGGCACAGTGGGGGGCAGAGTCAGGGCTGGGGTGGCACAGCGGGGGGCAGAGCCGGTGCTGGGGTGGCACAGTGGGGGGCAGAGGCCCCTCGGCCCTCAGGGAAGGACTTCCCCAAATTCTGTCTCCACTGGCATCAGAAGGGAGGCAGCAGCTGCCGACGCTGTTGTCATGAGAGCCGTGCGGGTCGGATGTGTGGCTTCCTCCCCGTGACCCGATTTCTTCCTGTGTTAGTTCTTGGATCTGATTTCGTCCTCGGGGAGAAGAGATCCCAAGAGTGTCGAGCAGCCCATCCTGCTTAAAGAAGGGTAAGGCAGCGTCCGGCAGGGCAGGAGGGGAGAAAGGGATGGGGGCCCCCAGTCCCCCGAGCACCCAGCACATTCCAGAAGGTTCCCTAGTCGGGGGCAGCCTCCTCCCTTGCTGGCCAGCAGCCTTGCGATTTCTGTACCACTGGCCGCCTCGTCCACACCCACACTTGGGGCCGGCCTTCCCTCCACGGGAACCAGGGTCAGAGGGGACGGCCCTGGGAGCCTGGCCCCTGCGCCTTCAGCGTGGGACCCCTCCACCGCCTTCTCGCTGACCTTGGACGGGGTCGTCTGTGCTCCACGGCCACCCCATGTTTCTGGCACAGGCCCGTCCTCCCTCGACCTCCACCCAGTGGACCCTGGAGCGTCAGAGCCCATCACCCTTCCTTACATAGATGTTGACACATCTACCCATTTCCTCCAACCCCGTCCTGTGGCCCGGCTCCCGCTCCCGGTCGGGGCTTTGCTCTGCTTGGTGTGGCCCATGCTCCTGTATTTTTATGTGTTTGCACACATGTTAGGGGCACAAATGCAGTTGTATTGGACGGGGCTTCGAGTGTAACCGTCACCTGAACAGACACTTTGCGCCCACTGAGTAATTTCTCGTTCCTCTCGCACTCTCACCTCCCACCCTTCCGAGGCCTCAGTACGTGTCCCAGAGTGCCCCGCCCTGCCATGTTTAGCTCCCACGTACCAGTGAGAACAAGGGGCATTTGGCTTTTCGTTTCTGAGTCATCTCCCTTAAGATAACAACCTCTAGCTCCATTCATGTTGCTGGAAAACATACGATTTCCTCCTTCTTGACAGCAGAGTAGCATGTCGTGGTATATTTATGCCACATTTTGTCACCCATTGGTGGACACGTGGATTCCGTGTCTGTGCTATTGTGAGTGGTTGAGTGGGAAACATACGTATGCACGTGTCTTTATGGTAATTGCTCCTCCTTTGTATGGGATTGCTAGATTGAATGGCGGCTCTGCTTTTAGCTCTTTGAGAAATCTCCGTGGGTTTCCTTAAGCACTAATTTCCATTCCCCACAGCGTACAGGCGCTCGCGTCCTCCACAGCCCTGACAGCGTCTGTCATTCTTCCACATTTTATTTGATCACAGCCATTCTGCCTGGCGTGAGCTGGGGTCGAGTGGCTCCATTCTGCCTGACGTGAGCTGGGGCCGCAGGCGGCTCTGTTCTGCCTGACGTGAGCTGGGGTCAGGTGGCTCCGTCTGCTGTGAGCTGTGGTTGCAGGAGGCTCCATTCTGCCTGGCGTGAGCTGGGGTTGCAGGAGGCTCTGTTCTGCCTGGCGTGAGGTAGGGGTCAGGTGGCTCTGGTTCTCATTCCTCGGGTGATGAACCATGCTGGGCTTTATATTGTATGCTTGTTAGCCATTTGTCTTCTTCTGAAAAATGTCTATTCCTGTCCTTTGGCCACTTTTAAATGGGTTATTTATTTATTTATTCATTGGTAAGCTGTTTGAGTTCCTTCTGAATTGTGACTATTGGTCCCCTGTTGGATCTGTAGTTTGCAAATATCTTCCCATTCTGTAGGTTGTCTGTTTGCATTGTTGGTTATTTATTTTGCTGTGCAGAAGCTGTTTAGTTTAATTAAGTCCCATTTGTCTATTTTTATGGATACTCTGTTAGAGCCATTTGCTCAAACCTGGAACATGCCTGGGTCACTGGTGGACCATACCTCAGTGGCAGCATTACTTACGTTGCTATTTTTCTTAAAATCACTTTCATTTAACTTAATCATATATTAACCAATAGCATTTGTAATACACACATTTCATGTTAGAAATGCAAAATGTTAGGCCGGGCGTGGTGGCTCACGCCTGTAATCCCAGCACTTTGGGAGGCCGAGGCGGGCGGATCACAAGGTCAGGAGATCGAGACCACGGTGA